CGACGTGTTAAACCCGTTTGATCTTCTGCGCCACGTTTTGAGTGGTCGGGCATTGGTGTTCTGATGGAGGAGAAGAAGCGTGCAGCAAACACCGCTTCAGACCAAGTAACGAGTCTACGTTTGACCGCCCACAGCATGCGCATTCCGTTTCGGCGTAGCCTGTCCACGGATTTCAATTCGCGACGTAAACTTGCGTCTAAGTCCTTCACAGGTCTGGGATGTAACATTTGACCATCAAGAGTGTAGGTTCAGACGTCACCACCCTACCCCAGACTCATGAATATCGAATTGAATGGGTCGACCACAAAGCTTACTTCTTCAGACGACATGGGGAGCCGATTGAGGTGTTGCTGAAATAGGCCGCAGTCGTCGCAGGTCGTTTGCGAACAAGGTACACGGCACCCGGCGAAGCTGAGCTTGATCGCTTGTGTACATCAGGAACAAAGTAGGCCCTGTGCATTGGGGTACCCCATTGGTCGAAAGATATCAGTTGGTCAGATAGCTGTCCACTTGTACTCTACACTTTCTTCTAACGAGACGTTTGTGTGTCATATGGGGTCTTGTAACGAGGCAAGGGCCTCATGCCGTGATTCCCGTTGCATCTATTGTATTTCTTCAATGTGATTAAACTTGAGTGACTTCCACTTTTACTTGTTTCGCATTACACTAGATCTAACTGAATCCACTTAATTGTATCAGCTCAGTTCTCTCGATCCTTCCCATATGCCCTGTTTATTTTACGCGTTTTTCCTGTCATTTTTGATGTTCGTCGATTGATATCCTTTAACTTACACTAACCCAAAATCACCTTTACACTAGATCAGACTTAATATACATTTTTATTTTCTCTGTTCTGTTATAGTGCCGGACATTTACTGTTCAGTTTGCGGGTTTATTCTTTTGTATAATATCTGTTCGTTGTTTGAAATCCCGGCTTGACCCCGCTTGATGTGATTGTTTGGCCAGTGCGTGCCTGTCGAAAAACCGCTACCTCATCTATACTGGCTCCAGGAGAGAGTTGCTCGTTGCTTGATGAGACCTGGTGCACTGTACTCGTGACCGTGCTAATCTCAAAGAGTTATACTTTCTAGTGTGGAGCGGACTACGACCCAGCCACCGCCTTGTGGACGTCTGGTGTGCATGATTCCCCAACCATCTAGACAGGATTGCTGCTGTTGTGCATGTTGACGGAGTGTGCGCAGGCTCCATTGATGAAACGTGGCTCCCATCCACATGCCTCCCGGTCACATCACTTCGGGTTTACACTGGATATGGGGTGTGTGGTTGGAGCTGTGGGTGGTGCATCGCAAGCCACCCATGGTCACTCTGTAGACCCAGGCGTCCTGTGGTTGTCCTATAGAGGCCGCAGTGACAGGCACATCCGAAATCGGATGTGGTCCAACATGTAAAGAAGCAAGTGCACTATCGGACGATCCTTAAACAACAACAACAACGCATTCCAGGTGTGTCAACTACCTAGAGAGAAGCGCTGACGACATTCCAAAGTGATACGCTACCTTTTCAGTTTCAGACCGTGGTCCCTCAGGTTGTTGTAATGACTGGGTTTCAACTTGGTTGATAAAACGCGCTATTAGACTCGCTTCCTGCCTGGCAGTGTCACCACATAAACTTCTATGTCATCCACTGAAATTTCCCGGCATTCAGTCACTGTTCGTAGGGCGAATAAGATAGCCTTTCGAAGCTTGTGTTCATCTGATGTTGCGGAATCTTCAGACCGCCTTTCCTTCAATGTGGCTAAAGGTTGTGTGCTCCATTTACGACACCGAATGGTTCAGAGTTATAACCTGGCGGAGCAGGATCCGCAACACTGTTCTCACGAAAAGGATCTCGGTGTGCTGGTCCAGGAAGATCGAGGCTGCTCGGAATAGTCTGAAAAGGCATCAAAGAAGGGGATCCACATCGTAGGGCTTCTATGGAGAGCCTTCAGACACTTCGAACCGACTACTTTCTGCCAATAACTTCCAGCTTACGTGCGCCCTCATGTGGAACATGCAATTCATCCATGGTACCCATAGCGAAAGCGACATCTCACGGCCTTAAAGATTCCGCAACGCTGGGCGATAAAAATGTGAAGGGGCTGCACCACTTGTCCTATGAACAGCGCCTCAGAATGCTGCACATTTTCTGCGGACGTTATGGGCGTTTTTGTGTTGACCTGATTATATTTTACTAAGTTTAAAACAACACTAATCACCCGTGCCATCACCTGTTGGAGCTGTCACAAAAACAAACTGACAGGTCATCTTTTCAGACTGGCAAAACAATACAGCTGGTTGGAGTGTCGAAGAAATTTCTTTTCCGTGCGTGTTTGCCACACGAGGAAGCTGTTATTTCAGCTCCCACGTTAGCCGCGCTTAAGGCACACGTCGACGATGCGCTGGTCGTAATACAACATAATTTTGGTATGTCTGCACAACAACCCCGAAATTTCTGACGAAGGCTACGCATCAACTTGGTTAAACCCAGTCTGATGCACCGATTGTGGACATATCCTGCAGCTCTTTGCACATTTCACATCACAGTTAGATCTCAGTACTCAGCGACCAGCTAGTGTTTCCCTGAGACTGGTACATTTCACGGAGCCCGTCATGGGCTTCGATAATTTGTACCCTTTAGTTTTGCGTTACTTAGCTTGCGTTTAGTTTCTTACAGCGTCTTCCGTGTAGCAAGGACGTGGTCAGCTCACCTTTCAAAAAAACACTTTATATCAACTGTCAATAGATCAAAGAGAACTAATCATTTCATTGCTGGGTAACTTAACTAGTTATTTTACGGCTAAATGCTGCTTACGGACACAGTGAATTCCAATTGAGTAGAATACGAACAGGGATCGTAAACTAAGCTGTACTCGTCCAAGTTGCAGCTCACAACGACTGAGTAGATTTGTCGGAACTAGACCCTCTCATCAACTGGCCAATGATCACCAGAAAAACTTTAAGCTAACATTATCTCCCTCCGGGAGGTTTAGAATATCAGGAAATTTTAGATACAACTAGGACCTGGGACATGACGGGAGCCAACTAAACCAGCTGTAACGCCCCCTGTGCTGTCACGCACACTTCCAACGTTTACAGCGCAGCGATGTGCTCCAAACGTGCGGTTCGACCAACGATTATCCGACAGATTACCGATCTACTGCGAGGCAGTTAGATTACTGGTACCGGAGAAGTCTAATTTATTTCAAAGTTTCCTGGTACACTTATCCAGACGCCTACAAACACATACGGACGTGTCACATCTTTGGATTTTACCAACACTGCACATGTATTCGACCTGCCGACCTAGGCAGAAATGCGGGCAATAGTCGCACCCTCTGGGTCACTGTGGATACCTAGCGGCCACGTGCTGCCACCCACTTTCTCAAACTTCCTACCCACCGCTGACATAGGGAGATAACTGATGACATTCACACCATGGCGTATTCCTACATTAGGACACTAACTTCGGGGTTATTCCAATTATTGTTTGGAGCTTTGAAATCTGGAAGTCGCCGGTTCGAATATGCATAGGTGCGGCAGACTGCGCGCGGCCGATGACGGTCGCGTGGCAGCGTAGCGTCGGTAAGTTGTGGCGACGAACTGCTGACACACCCTTCTGCTTTTCTTTCTTTGGGTTAAAACATTTTGGTGTTTGAATCTTTCAACCGTAATTCATCGACACTAGTCCCAGTGTAAATGTCAGCGATGCATGGCTAGGAGCAGCTAGTTTGCGATTTTCACCCCTCTTCTCTCCCCCCGCATCGAATCGAGCATTGTACAGACCATTGACGAGTCCCACAGGGACTCCATATCGTCTTCAGATATCCGGTTGTTGTCTGGTCGGAGTTGGCCGCATTGCTCTCCTTTTAACTTCTTGTCGAAACTGAATTACTGTCCCTATAACTTCTCTTTTGGGGTTTTAAATCGGGGACTTGTGCTCGTTGCTGCCTTGCTGGTCCTACCTTCTATCTTGCTCAATATTCCTTGTTGATGATGATTGCCACTCGCCTCTTCGTCTCAATAATACGACCAATGCTAGAGTACGGCTCGCCCACGTATTGTCCCATCACCCGAGGCGAGGTAGAAAAGTTTGAGCGAGTGCAGCATGTAGCCACCAGGCTGATTCCCAACTTACGAGGTATGCCATATGAAGACCGATGTAAGAAACTACGGCTGTACACCCTAGCTTACCGTCGGCTGAGAATTGACCTCATCATGACTCACCGGATACTGCATCTGGGTGATTACCCCATGCTTCGTCTGCGCACACAAAGCAGCACGCGAGGACACCGGCATAAACTTATCGTACCGGATTTGAAGCGGGTCGCTCGCCAACTCTGTTTCGAACGCAGAGCGGTGAATATATGGAACGACCTGCCGCAGCACACAGTAGAGGCAAACGTAGTGTCGGAATTTAAGAAGCTACTTGACAAACACTTCGCAGACGAAAAATACATAGAGCGGCACTCAACATAACACGTATATGTCCAAGTGCGACGAATGATACAGTTACACAGAGCAAGTTCTACTCGCTGCTTCGTAACAATAATCAGTAATCAGTATCCCAATGCATGTATTTATTTCCCTACAAATGCCGAAGAGCCACCAACACCTGGTTCGTTGAGTTCACTTCAACCTAATCCTTACCTGACAGCCATTCCTAGTAGCTGGCTGGTAGCTTACCGGAACGATGCCTATCCGTTCCTGGTAGCTCAGCTGGCATGCAACTGTCGTATCTATTTTTCCTTTGTGTATTGCATGTATGTATGTATTTCCTTTGTGTACTGCGGTACAATAGCGGAGGTGTTTTACCACCTCTAGCTGACATGTATAATGATGATGATGATTTCCAGGTGAACTGTACATTTTAAGTCCTATTTCTGCCCAAACAATGATGCGATCACGTACTTCAAACTATTTCCCACTCGTTTGGCGATATTTTATTGTTTGTGCATTTATTCGATAACAATTGTTCCCTTTCCTCCATCCACCACCCACCAGCGGACACAACCCTGATTGGTACGTGCGACATTGGGGTCACACTCTTGTCCGACGGCTTCTCAATCTACGGCGGTCGTTCTTACCCGCCGAGTCCAACCAACCAGTGGAACGCCGCAATCACGTGCTGCTGACACAGCCAGGTTTATCACCGCCGTCGATATCCACAAACAGCGCCGTGCGATAATGACCGATCTCCTCACCCTCCGCCCTTCAGAGTGGCGCTAATCAATCACACCACCTCATTGGTACTTGCTCAATTATGTTCGCTCTTCAAACACCCATGTATCTAATTGACTTCGCCGACACCTTCCGAAGTGCAGAGCGAGCGCAGATTGTACAGTTTCATCTGGTTCACTCTTTCGGTTTTCAATTTGCATCTCACTGTGTGTGTGTCCAGTTCATAGTGCATGTTTATGCAAGAATCGTTCCTTCTCCCGAATGCCTGTTGAAATCAGACTTTTCCGATTCCAACTACCCATCTCCGTATCTTGCCCTGATGATCCCCGTTTGGTTATACCTTTTCTCCACATGCACCGTTACTCAGAGTTAACTTTGCTTTACAAAATCGGGGTTTTACACAACACTCATCGCCTTCAGTGGCTAGATCGTGGCAATTCATTTTGCTTCTTTGCTCTCTCTCTCTCTCTCTGCACTGAGCTAACTCAGTGTGTGTAGTCAATTGATCTGATGGTTTCTTATGCTTTGTCGAGATCAGCTGCTATTACTGAAACGACAAGTCACTCTCCATTTTGCTCGGACCAATTTCACACTCGATCGATCGGTACTTGATTGCACATTTCGCTCTCCCTCCCTCCCTTTCTCTGTTCGCTCCTCTGGTCCGCCCCTCGCTCCTTCCGAATACTCCCACTGTTGTCTTTCTTTTCTACTGAGGAAAAAGCGATTATTTTTATTTTACTTGCAAATCACATCATTCAATTTGCACAATCGATATGGAATCGGGAATGGTAGCGAAGTTGAGTGTTTGATCTTGGCTTGTTTTAATTTGGTAATGTGTCTGCTCAAGGTCACGCGGGCAAATCGTTCAAAGTGAGCTCGTAAGCACATGCGTCTGCAATGGTTCGTACATACGGGATGAAAGTTAAAATGTGTGAAATGCTACACGTACGAATATAGTACGGGCGTCTGCAGCTTTCCGAGTTTAGACGAAATCAGTCCCTCGTTGATGGCGTGCTTGGAGAAGCGGTTCTGACTAATCCATTAGCAGAGGCTTTGTAGTTCATCGTTTGCTTCTTCGAAAGTTGACATTAAATTATCACCGCGCTTTTCTTTGAAATTGGTGTTACCTGGAGCGAAAATTTGTGCATCGGTTAGCCAGTTAAGCCTGGAAAAACATGGTAAGCAGCAACATCTCGAACTGCACATAAATCATGTAACAGTAAATCGCTTCGATTTCAAAATATAAATTTTGAGGACATGGCAGCTGTTCGACTGTCAACCAAGCACTGCAACGTCTCGGTTGTTCTTATCCTTGTCATGACGAAAAGTGTGTCCGTTTTTCGCGTTATTTTTACTGCTAATAAGTGAACTCCTTGGACTCTACTGTCTTCGGGTATGATCCCACGTGAGAGGTTACAGATCATTAGTAATAGTACAATCGTAAGAACTTACCCCTCATGCGCTTCAGTTTCATACGGCGGTTTTGGAACCAAACTTTCACCTGCAAGAAAGTGTGATCAACATTCTTTCAATCAGTGTCCAATTTGAACACTACGGCAACAATGCATGGTTCGAATTTGAGAAAGCAACATCCGCAACCCTGTTCTCACATGAGTGAATTTAGGCATCGCAATTGAATCATGCTTATAGCTTAGTGAGGATCTACTCGTACGTTTCGACTCGCTTCTGTAGCAGCGGAGCTATGAGTTCCTCTACGAACTCCTGCTGCTTCACCTCACCCGATTTGTATATTATTTCTATTTACCGGGTATTCATGTATGAAGATCTTAAAATGTACTGCCTTTTGCTGCTTCCCCAGGGAACTTACCAAAGCGAATTGCTTCTCGTGAACCGATAACCAGCACTAACTGTACTTCTTGTTCAAAGGACTGTCTTCTTTCCATATCTTGCAGCTATGGTTTTTTGGCTCTTAGCTCTCCGAGCGCTTGGATCTAAAACAGCCACAGGACTAGCAAGTCACCTGCGCCTCTTGCTGGGTCGATCGCAGCTAGTACAGAGTTGTGGCCACGATATCCACCAAGAGGTGCAGAAGATATGCGATCAATTGACAGCAGATCCCAACCGATTACACTGTTTGTCCTTGTGTGGAGCCTGATTGCTTCGAATGTTGGTGAGCCTGTGCACATCTTCCTACTTCACTAGCAGACAATCGTCAATCACGAAGAGTATTCCAATTCAGCGTTTGTTATTTTTCAACAGGAATTCCCTACCGATGTGGCTGGAGTGGTTAGCTGTACCAAATCAGCATCCATTCGACGATCTTGAGTAGTCACTTTCCTCAACAATATCCCAGCTTAACGTACGGTTCCAGTGGTGGAGTTGATTATGGTTCATAGTGAACTGTTGTTTTACTTGCCAAGTAGTTAAGCTGTCCAAGCATAAAACAGACACGGAATTTACACACGCCACCTGACCTCTGCGAATAAGGATGTCTTCAGTAGCGATATCAAACAGGAAGTGATAGTTTGTCGTATGTTTGGCCACTGTTTCTGCTTTGATTGTACACAGAGCAATCTAGAAGGCCTTCGGTATTTTCCGGCACAGATTCGATGAATGGATTAACTCCTAGACACCATTTGTTCGAGCTTTGCTCCATGCATGAGACTGCAAGGGCGCGCTCCTGAATCAGATCTGTTGACGACTGGCCAGAATGTCCTTTCGTTTTCACCTAGTGAAATTCTTACACCTTTACATATACACATTACATGTCTCAATCGGTCAACAACAACAACAACCTCCCCGTTAGACCAGCGAACTAGCGCAGCAATGGTTTACGACTGGGGCGTGGAGCGGCGATAAAAAAATCCATTTGTGACGTTACAGGCATCTGGTTTCCCAGCTGAACCCGTGGCCAGTTCACTTTAACGTATAATCCAAGCTGTCCCTCATGGACTGGTGGACATCTGGACAGTGTTCAAATCGAGGACCGCAGTGCCACGTAACTGTGACATGTGGTGTTTTCTGTCACCTGGGACGAGCTACAAACGGACACATCTACCAATGCCTAACTCAAATCTGATACTATCATTACACGTTGTAGAAGCTGTGTCCCTCTAATTCGGCACCGCTTTCTCCCACATTGGAACAAGTACAAATTTCGGATTCATTTTACTTGTATCCTTCAAGTGTACAATTTGTTTCACAATAATTGTGTAGTTGGGTAAACCATCAAGCGACCATTATACAGTCGTTGACTTGTCGGTTCTTGTCTAGCACGAAGCATATGGCGTATCAGTGCATGTTGAAATCAGGTGTGCTTCATGGGTAGTTCCTGGCGGACCAATCGCAGCACTTACGCACATCAGACTACTACTCAATCCGGTGTCAATCACATATTATCGCAAAGCCTACTGAACCACTGCCTCTGCGTATAACTGAGACTACTGCTTTTTAAACGGTATCGCCTAAGCGGGGTTCTAGTATGCTCATATTTTGTACATTTCTATTCCACCCGAAACGCTGATAGACGTTCTTCGTGCAGATTCAGTTAGTTGTTTTTTCGTCCAGCATTGAGTACTATCTTCATTATGCTTTTTTGAGGCCCGGTGCTTCGGAAGAAGAGGGACAACCAAGAATATCACTCGATCCATTTACCAGATTGTTCACATGAGAGCCTAATATGCACCCGATCGATGTCTCCCTTAGAAACATCTACCGCAGAATTTGCGTGCAACAGTCGTATGCTGCTGGTCATTGGTCATGATTACCTGGACAGTTTGTGCACAGATCCCTTCTGGTCCTCGAGTGATCCACACTAGTTCCGCAGGTAGGTCACGTGGATCGAACTAAACCCATCTCGATCATTGGACATTCAGTGTAGGGGAAAGTCAGTTTATATTTTGGTACTTTGCGAATCCCACTAATATCCGCTGGTTTCAGCTACAGTAAATCCATAAGTACTCTACTTACAATGTTGGCCTGTTGTATAGATGGTTATTTCGTGCGTAAACTATTTCTATCTCTCCAACGTTTCGTCCGTGCCTGGGACAAGCCATGTGCAACAACTTACTCCAGCATCTGCACATCTCATGGCAGCACGCGCGTTGTCCTTATCTTCCCTTTTCATTCCATTGGGAAGGTGGTGCACGTCTAACCAAAATACCTTCCTTCCGCTCCCCAACCAAAACATGGCGAGAGGTGTTAACGGTCATGCACAATCACAATGTGAAACGGAGCCGAGAGGAAGTTAGTTGGTGCGCTCTCTTCCTTCATTCCTCTTTCGGCCTTCTCTCTCCCTCCCTCTACGTTTGACCTTTCATCAGCCATATTGCACAGTGGACTTAAGCCTGTATACATCTACCCATGGTTTACTCACTAACACCCACTGTCTTGTGAGCGGTAATCCGACAACCCCATTGTTGCATATTTTTACTTACCGGCCATTTGTGATCCCTGCAATACGTAGTGTGCTGTGGTGCATCTGAGGTTACGGTATGAAAACAGATGGTAAGTTCTGAACGAACGAATCACTTGCTAGGTTTGTGTGAATGGCATGGATGAGCTTATGGTGAATTCCAGTTAACTGTGTCTCACCAGCTACAATTAGGTTCCATCACCAAGTCATCACGCCCCTAGAAAAGCAATGTGGTCTTGACTCGTCTTTTCGGGATCCCTCAACAACGGGGAGCGATGAATTGCAATTCGGAACCCTTGCTTACCTGACAATGTTTCGCATCAAGTGGCGTTTGCCGATGTGACCAGCTGATTTGTCGCGATACAACAAGCCGTTATGGGCACTGACAGATGGTGGAAAAGACCTAGTCCAGTGATCCAGAACCTTCCCCTTCAGTTGTCAATCACCTGTTAGCATCATGAGCTGGCTCGGTTTGTTACTGTTTCAAAAGGAATCACGGTCATATCAGGTGTTACCAACTCCTCCGGCCAGTGGTACTTTACACTATCTTGTTAATAGCGGGTCGGACATCTAGCAGCTCCTCAACCCCTTGGCAGATCGAGAGAAATTGCACTGCCGGCATATCCCTCGAGTACGAAGTAGTCTCCTCGTGCGTTTCCGCATTTGCGACGGTTTCCCCTTTACGTACATTTGTAACGGCCTACACTCAAAGTTGATCCTTATCTTCCAACCACGGGTTCGCTAAATCACTATATATCAACTCATTTACAATCCGAAATACAAGCGATTTTTCTGTTGATACCGAGCTTCGGTTCCGTCTAGCTTGCGCGCCATCAACTGAACCGGTGAACTGATCCGTCCACCATCATCATCGTTATACATGTAAGCTAGAGGTAGGAAAGACCTCAGCTACTGTGCTGCAAAACATAAAAGAAAAAGGGAATAAAATGCAACAGGTGCAAGCCAGCTGAGCTACCGCTAACGGCTGGGGATCGTTTCGGTAAGCTACCAGCCGACTACTATGCAGCAAAAAATTAGTATGCAAAATTATACAAGGCTAAATAGTGAGATCGTGGTTGGGGGGGAGGCTAAGAGGGATGGGGTGGGACAAAGAAACTCACAGCATGAACGCCACTGAGGTCGGCTCCTAGCCATGTCAGCAAGTGTATTCAGCCAAACGTGTTCATCTACCTTAGTACCCCAACCAGAGAGCCGACGCGCGCTAACCGAGGCCAGCTTCGAAGTGAGGGCCTTCATTTCTCTCGACCAAGTCATTGCTTGGTCACCTCTCCTCTTCTTCCATCTACACCCACGGTGCGCAAACAACACACGTCGCGGGAGTTGGTGGGCTGGTATGCGTAACACGTGGCCGAGCCATCGGAGCATGGTGCGTGAAATAACGGTGACTGATTCGTCCAGTAGTCAATCTTGTACCCCGTGACCCCACGGTATTGGAATTCCCGAGGCTGTCCAATAGGTCGATTGCCTACATGGCGTTAGACTCATTCCGGACGACGAACACACATGTGGGCATGTGGATGGATAAGAAAAGGTTTTCCATTGCAAAGTGACCGGAGATTTCAACCGTAATGCCTCAAAAGGCAACAGTAACGATTACCCGATCAGCTGCTGTTGGACGTCAGCGTATCATCCGAAGTGACTGTCAGTCGTCCCTCATCATTCTCATCAACTGCTTTCAGGATTCCCGGATGGGTAACCACTCCACATCACTCATCATTGTAAGCTGTCGAATTCCCCTCAATCCTTCCCAACGTGTGGGAGAACCGTGTTACACATCCACCTCTTGAGGTGACAGATATGTTGACATTGCATAGTGCATTCCACAACACTTGACACAATCCATCAGGCTCCACCCACGGGGCTACCTAAAAGACCACTTGAGCTCCGTTCACGTCAGATTACCAAATTTCATGCGTCTCTGCCAATCGGACATAGAGGGTGGGTCGACATTCGACGATACGGTTGTCAGAAGGGATGCAGTGGAACCCCTCCCAGCTTGACACATTTTCCTGATTGAAGGGTGTTTTGACCCTAAGGCCTCATTATGTGTTGAATGCTGAATTCACCATTTTATAGGCCTTCATATGATATTTGGCGCAAGTGAACACGAATTAGGTAATGATGGTTACCTTAGTCATCGCCTCAACAGGCAACCAACTGTGACTTCAACTGATTTGGAGGGGAAATCACTGTTGACTGCGATAAGAGCAATAACAAGTGGACCTTCACCAATTTATTTCCTGTGCCACTTTCTCCGTGGGCGCAAGACCATTCCTGCCCGATGTACTCTAATTTAAGTCTTTGTTCTCTCCAGGGTGAAAACACATATTTCCACCCATACAGGAGTAAAGAAAACTTTGGGATAAACAAGTGATTTTAAAGCAGTTTAAGTCTAATTGAGGCCTGCCAGATAATCTGCTCACAGTCATTTGGGAAAATGCCGAGGATATCAGGCTAGGTGACAGAAACAGCATGTGCTGCATGTATAATGAGTGATGCCGGTAAATATAAGTGACACCTACGGGGTGCTGTCTACTTGGTTTCACACGGGCTTTCGCAGTGGATCTCTTATTCGACGCAGTAACCCGTGAAATCTGTCATAGTCGAATACGGTGGTATTTGTGTGTTGTCGTGGGGGCAGTGAAAGCGAATTTTGTCCAAAGAGTTGACGAATACGTATTCGGTGTCGTTCGCTGTCCACACTAGATATCACGATCGGCTTCGTCTTCGTTACTTCCGGCCGGAACTAGATAGAACCGCGGAAGTATTGGTTGCAGTTCAGGCATATCATCTGTAGGTCACCGAGATTCCCAGTTAGCACTTTACTCAACGGCCAGGGATTTTCCACTTGAATCCCTCGCTTAAAAGGTGAAGCCGATTATTGGGCATGATTCTAGGAGGCAACAACACCGAGGGTTTCACCACTTCGGATGAGGCTCCAGTGCTCGGAATGACAGAGATTTCATCATTATACACGTCAGCTAGAGGTGGGAGACACCTCAGCTACTGTGCCGCAATGAGGCTGGACCTTACCGTGGTGCGATGGTTTGCGTGCCTCAGCGATCCATTGAGCTATGTTGGATGGTGCATTTTGCACCTTCAAAGCCACTCATACCAGATTTGTCAATGATTAGAGGCCAGACAAACTCAGCCTCCTGGTCCTCCAGGTTGGGGGTTGGAATGACGGTGGCTCCTTATTCCTTAAAACGGACTCCTTGTAGCCCAACGCCAAACCCGCTGCCTTGCGGTAAGGTCTTTGAACCAAAGGCTTTGGTTGAGAACCCTAATCGTTCTCCTGTCTAGGTCTGGGCAACCTGACAGTATCCTGCCCACGCAATACAATGAATTTCAAACAGTTTTTGATGCTCTTGCCACCGCAGAGGATAATCAACGGTGCCCTATCTGCTGCATCGAGCAGGGTGGATAGGAGTTTGGATGCTACTGCTCAAGCTTTCCCGTTTTCTTACTCCCCCTCTTACGCTTTCTCACTCTTACCGTCCCGTTCCAACTTCACTTTTATCCCCCCAGTTTTCAACCCTCCGATTCTTCGCCCTCCCCCAACATGCTTTGCTAGGCATTTATCTTCTAATCTCAACTCACATGACAGAGATTTACTTTAGGATAAACCAATGGGCACTTAACAAACCCAGCTACCTATGAATGGACCATTAATGTTGACTAAAATGCATCTAGTATTTTTCTCCGAGTGCCGGCCATATGACATGAGCACTAGTCAGCTACATGTCTTGTCATCGTGGTCGTCAGTAGAAATTCGATCCAACAGCCGGCTATTAGTGGCGCCGAGTGTTCCACGCCACATTGTCTGTGCGGTAGGATGGACACAAGCAGCAAGCGCCAAAGCCGCAACTGCCTGTCACTTTCAGAACCAGTAACATTGGCAACAGTCTTGAACTCGTAGTATTTTACAGCCTTACAATCGCAGATTAATAGAGATGGCTTAATAATGAGGCGCAAGCGCAATGAAGTATGCGGATCTAATGTGGAAATTTAATCCCAGGAGCAACTATTCACGATCCCGTTTGCTACATCTTGTCAACACTGAGCGGTTGTAAACATGCGGCTGTCATGTCAAGAGAATGTGGCATCGATCAGATAGTTTTTAGCACCACGTTTGGTAACTCAACCTACATGTCATCCGACTGGGAGACGATGACAGACGCATCATTGATACCATGTGCGAACCACTTTCCTTGAGGTCGAACACCATTCTGGTTACCTTGGAAGGCCGGACGGATCAGAAACACTCATTATGACTATCAGTGCTGTCAATCCTCACTAACCTCCCAGATCCGGTAACCGAAACGAAGCTGTCTTCGGGAACAAGTGAGCGGCAGTACCTGATATTTGCCTACTTCAATGCAGCCTATTCAGTTTTTCATTTGTTTCTCACAGTAACAAATCTGATCTCGTGGATGAAACGCATCGGCAGTTGTGATACCTAAGCCCACGTAGGTACGCAGCGCATCTAAAAAATCAATACCCGATTGGTCCATGTTATTCGGAAGTTAGGATGGGTTCCAGGTATTGTCTTCCCTCATTATGACTCAATTTACTGCGGTATATACTGGGTTTGTTCGACTACATAATTTTATAAGAAGTTTTTGTGTTAACTTATACATTATTATGCCGTGACGCAGGAACTGATATATTTTGGAGAATAGACCTGAGAACACATTGTGAAAGCGCCCGTTTGATTAAGTTATCAGTGCATTCCAGATCATAGGCCCTCCTCACGCATGCGCTCAGCTCAGACCAACAAATCAATTTGACTACCCCGGTTGCGCCTACGTATGATTTGTTCGAGAGATGTTGCCACATCGTGGGTGGACTTTCGGGAATACAAAGTCACCAACATACAAGGCGGTTTACCGCAGCCCATGTTTTCGATCTGGTCGTCGTTGGGAGCGAAAGCAAAACTCGACATCTCTTTCACAGCTATCCCGTGTGAGTAGATTACACGCAGTTTTCTTGCCGTCCCCCTAGTCTCCGAACGTTTTACCGCTCCGACGATGAATTTCATCCTGCGCAGTGTAGTGGAAAAGCGGCTACCGGTGAACACTAGCCTACGAACAGGTTGACGGTAGACCGGACACCCATAACCTCCTGACGCGTGATAAATGTGGATGCACCAGTTTGTCCACCCATCCGGTACTAAGTTAACGCAGCTCGCACAAGCGCTGCCACCCATGTGAGTAGGTTTATAAAACGTTCGCATCCAATCCCTTGGGGAACTGAGCGAAATCGGTGGTGTAGGAGAACGAGAGACGCATTTCTGAATCGAGGCAAAGCATGTAACGTATTGAGCCGTGCGAGTGCTGTTCATAGCACACAAACTGCTCTTGTGTGTGTGTGTCACGGTGGGGAACACGCACACATCGTACGATCGCGCTATTGCCGTGGTAACAGACACCTACGTGATATTCACGTGTTGAGGTGGTCAGATGTCAAGCGTCTGCAGAATGTGACGAATGGGCGAAGGCGCACTGCGCTGGGTCTTGTACTGTCCCCACCCTTACCATCACTGTGTGAATGTACGCTGCGATGCATGTGCGTCGTGCTCGTGTGTGTGTGTGTGTGTGTGTGTGTGTGGAAGGGAAGGTGCATGCAAACGGGGTCTAGCGTCAATTGATACATTTGTCTTTCTGCAGGCATACTGGGGGCAACCTCTCTGGTTCCATGTCGTGCTTGTGTTCTTTTAGTGACTATGCTGTGATCCACTCCACACGCGCGGTTTCTTTAACCGGCGTGATTGCCCCTTCGTATCCGTCTGTGGTATACCACCACACACGCTAGCAGGTTACGCGGGTATATCTCGGTTCACAAGTCGGGCTAGAAACAGTGACGAATGGGTGACTTTTATGGACATTTTTTGCTGTCAGCGTTGTGCATCCACTGTGACTGAGCCTGAGTTGGTTCCTAACTGACGCTTGTCTACACCGTAGAACTGGGGAACACCCAGTTGGATCGTGCTTTAGATGAAGCTGGACGATGTTAATGCCTCCATGCTCGACATGACATGGCGGATGTGCCTGCCCGAACAATGTCCTGGTGCTCCGTGGTGTCTCATCGTATGGCCTTGGACTAGGTGTCACATTCCAAACACACAGTGGATACCTCAGTCTAAATTTGCCACGGGCCGGGAAATATCATAGGGATTAAACCGCAGGACTGTTGTCGAAGACCTCGCCGGTAGGGCGCCCATTGGGTTTGAAACCGCCTGAAGACTTCCAACGGGGACAGCAACTTTTGCTAAGCTACTACTTTAAGAAGGAACTACTGAGATGATACCACTTAAGATATGTGCAGTAAAGCCTCCGAAGTTGACTACGTCTCTAAGATGACCGCTTTATTTTGCAATGCCTGGTCCAGTCCAGAGTGATAAACTTACGGTTTTACTGTATTTTCATATTACCAAAGGGATCCTTTGTTGAAGTCACCGTGCTTAAGAAGTAATGTGTACCAATCTGACCAGCGGCTTCAGTGAAGTTACCTGAATGCGAAATACCAACACCTTCATTGTCGTTCCCCAATTAATCCAATGGGCCCAACATACAGATATCACACGCCAACATAAATTGACTACCAAACATGATGGCTTCTCAGAAGATTTCATCACTTGGAGCGAATGTGATATTTCCCATAAAATTGCCATTTATGATATGTGAATTCGTCTAATGTGAATGCGCAATGAATTCGAGGGATGTGAGAAGCAGCCGACCATTAAATTCCCCCCATATTTGGGTGCATGATTGGCTTGCCCAACAACCTCGTGGTGCCAGCTGGGTGGTTCGAGATTTTCCCATTCCAGCAAATGGTTCGACGATAGTGTTCCAGGACGTGGTGGGTTTTCGCCTGGCAAGCGTTCTCCCTATAAAAAGCCACATATGTCCGTTTAACAACACTGTGACGTGGCGGACGTGACTCGCCACTAAATAAAGTCACTGCCCCTTGCTTCATCCTGCGAAACATTGGATTACAGCAAATTTATGCTGTAATTCTGGGGAGCATTGGATCCCTGTTTGACAAAGGAACAAACGAAAGACGTATGAACTGAGCAATCAGTCACCGGCTCCTAATGGGCGCGATTCCCTGAATTCGCTCCGCTGCCTTGCGGGCAGGCTATTCAGCCAAAGGCTCGGGGTGGTGTCCCATAAGTCAACACCCTATTTCTGCTCGGGTAACCGGGTAGTATCTCGCCGTCTGAGGAAATCATGGACTTTGATGTTTTGTGTTGTGTTTTCTTTTACTATTTCTGTACCCCATGGTTTCTGATGGCTTTATGTCTATTCGTAGACCGTTGCAAATATATATATGGCAGTGAAAAGACGTATGCTTTGATGAGATGAGGGACAATATTGCGCATTCACATTCCCTTTCTTACTTGAAAATGAGGAGAAAAGTGCAAAATTTACGTGTTTATCTATTGCAACTGTCATCCGCCAGCACTCCCATCACGAAAAAATGTCTACTTGTCCACCCACAGGCAGTGCTAACTGATTAATCAATTTAGGTGAATTGACGGATGCTGTTTCCACTTCCGATGTCATACGCGTCACTCGATGTCGCTCTAAGCATGATGCGCATACCAACTCTAACAAAAATTACCATAGGACGTTTCGCTTTATTTTATCGCGTTGTACCCCTGCATCCTAACAAGGAGAGTACTATCCTTGTCTCTTATGTATGTGGTGAAAGCCGTGTAACAGATCAGGCTGTTTCTACACTTCATCTGTATTATCCAGGTGAAAAACGACCTTGAGTCGACAATTTGAGTAACTCGGCATGATATGTAAACTGGATTAGTGACGCCCTAATACGTTCGTTTCTAGGACCCTGCCTTCCTGAAGAGGGAACGAAGGCAGCGAAGGTGTATGCCGACCAACAATTACGGTATCAGCAGAGGTTCGTCGCACCCGGACTCAATCAGAAAGCCTTCACACGCCCAGAACAACACTGCACGACCGTTTCCACCTTTCGGGAATCAGCTACACTTCATCTGACCCTTGTTATCCAGAACCCGCAACTCGGCTATTACCGTTCTGTGTTTAAAGGCACTGAGCTGCAGGGTCGGTAACGACCAATCGGGTAGTGAGTGAAGCTATATCGTATCTATGTTAACGTATTAATGACAATTGTTACCGTCCACCGGTTGCCTAGTGGTCTTACCACGAACTGCTAACAGTTGGGTTACGTGTTGTAGCCCCACAGGGATCAGATGTAATGCGCAATGTTGACCAGTCCCGAAAGAACGAAACGGCCGTACGGTGCCCGTGCGGCATGTGACGGCTGTCTGACTGAGTCTAGATTTGACGAATTTCAACTTGTACCATTCACATACCCCTTCTATTCCGTCCTACAGACGATAGTGTGGAATTATTTCCCTGTAGCAAGGAATTGAGTTCAAGCAAACAGGACAGCATCGGCTAGGAGTGGGTTTATCTCAGGACTATTGACGCTCGAATCAAACCAAAAGAGGATCAGAATTGGGGATACCGGCTCAGCAAAAGGCAAGCATTTACTAGCTTAAGAGCTCAATCTGGGAAAAACCGCTCATGGAGGCCTATTTTCCGTACAGGGATACTGCATACGTTTGTCACTCGATAAAAATACAGACGGAACTTACCTGCCTCTCCGTTAAATTCAGGGCGACAGATATCTCATAGCGCCGTAAGCGCGTTAGGTAGCTGTGCACAGTAAACTCGCGCTCCAGCTCGCAAATCTGCTGCTTGGTGAAAGCAGTCCGTTCCTTCCTCGGTCGTCCGGGCACGTCGGTGTTGTTCGCACACGGCGTCACGTCGAACTCCTCCTCCTCAAATCCATTCACCCGATTCTCTGGCTTTGGCAGCGTTGTCTGGGTGAACGAAGGAACACCCGGTTGATCACTGCCAGTCAATTTGGCCAGCGTGGTATCCGCATTGGTGGCATGTATCGGGTCGGGTCGACAAGCTTGCTGCCTTGCGAAGAATGCGCGTTTAGAATTCCGGGAGACAATATGCCCTGCCTGAGACCATAGAGACTCGGTCATGGAATGAAAATCCGGACAGGTGGGATAACAGGTAGGGAATTCGGGAACTCGTTTTTGCAGATAACCATCCGAGTAGCCTGTAACAATTCAACAATTCTTCGACAGTAAGAGGTTAAGATGCAGCAAATTGTTGGGTACGAAAAAGGTTATCGGATGGTGCTTCTTGCAGCTACGTAAATCTAGTTCATTCAATTGTATGTGCACTAGACAGCCTTCCAAGAATATGACTGTTTGATTGAGCAAACAGATAGCAGCGAAGAATTCTAGGGGTATTCTAGTTATTAGAACGCCAAAAACGGACGAAGAAGCCAGGTAGCACTTTCGTGGCTGGTTGGTAATCATGGGACTGGATTCGGCTGCCACGAAACTACATGCGACTCATTAAATTCCCTGTAGGTAGTTATACATGCTGAGGAAAGGAGATTAAAAAGCCTGTAAATTGGAGCCATGTTAGGAAACCGCGGTTGCTGTGATCTTTTTGGGCACTTTTGAAGTAACTCACCGACAAAATTCCAGTAGTCCACTCGGTACCGTGGATGCGGACAATCTAAAGACAGAGTTTAACTCCGTGTCATCCGATAAATTCTTACTTTTACATCACTGTTTCTTCAAGCTTACTTGACCACACCAGTGCTAACAGGGAATTCACTGAACTGAAGCTAAGCATAGTTAGTTGCACCAGTCGTTCTGAAAGAGTGTACGGATGCATTACAAACATATGGTACCACCCACGACATATGGAATGCAGCAGAATAACACCAGTGCCCAAGAGGGAATCACACAAGCATCGGCCAATAGCGTGCACCTCCGCGCTGTTGAAGGGGTTTGAAAAACTACTTGGCTCCGCATTTGCATAAGCTATCATATAGATGATATCAAACAGTTTACACACAGGCCAGAGCGCTCTACACTGGGTGCCGTTCCGTATCTTGTACATTCCATTGCTTCCGCTATGGATACAATTTCAAAAATGTGCGGCTCATTTTCCATGATTATTCTAATGCCTTTGGGAGACTTGGTAGAGCGTTACTACTGAACCTTTAGTTCGAACACGGCGTTCCCTTATGTACACGTATTTTAATGCGTGACTACTTCACAAATCACAAATACTTCACGAAGCTATATGGTGGGTCTTTCACCTTCCCAGTCAATTGTAGGGTCTTGCGGACAGCTATTCTATCCCACTTTCTGTTTTCCGCCAAGCTGAATGTCTGTATATACCAACCAGTCTCATCAGGTGTAAATACGCCGAGGAAATAGTCCTAGGGTGTCTAACTACAGTTACTGAGGAACCTTCGAAATTTCAACGACGATTAGAAGATCATTTGACTTCGTGAGGCTCCAGATCTCTCCCCCTTAACGCTTCCAGAATTTGTGATATCACACTCACTTTTCTCCTTCCCGACAGACTGTGCTCCATTTTATATACTTCACGCCTGGTCGTGAGTGACCAAAGCAACCCTCGTTTATCCTAGTTAAAGTATCGTTGTGTCCTCTCGTCTTACAATTTAGCTTCGTCTGCAAATATTCTTGAAACCTTTCAGAAAGTCATCAAACCTTTATACCCTCAAATTCAAAAGTTTTCCTCGTACCCTGTCTTCTTGTGCTATGGCTTATAAATGTATGTATACTTCCCCATTAGTTATACTGTACCGTCATTTCGCCCGGGACTACTTCGAAAACATTATTTCTCGAAGCTTTGAATTAAGCGGTACGATATCTATCAGTCCCACGTGGTAGAAACAAGACGGTTTGTTGCATCACTTCGTATCTCAACGACAACTTGTCCCACCTCCATCTGTCTCGCTGACAAGTTAATCCAAAAGCAATGATGCGTGAGTTCCGAGACCCATTGCTTGAGTGAAAATGAGCTCTTTTTGTTTTTCTCATCACCTCTTATTTTCCCCGAAGATACTATATTGTGGTATATCCGCAGTGGGGGTGTAAACTGCTGAACATTCTCCTCATGGGCAAAGGAATCTCCTTTCCCCTTGACTTGTCTAATCTAATTACTGAACATTTAATGTAACCGAAAGTACACTGAAACAGGGTTTAGTATGATCTCTAAGGTATGTGGAAATTCCTGACATCGTCTGTCTTGAAGGTAATGGCTTTTTCCTATGCAACATAATTACGAAGTGAATATCGAAGTCTTCCACATCTAACGGCTATCAATAACCTCAAATGGGAAAACGTATGTGACTCTTACTTTCAGCTACTGGACGGCAATGGCGATGGTAAGCTGTTACCAGGTGCTGTTGCTATTGTTCGCACTTGTACTAAAAATAGCGAAAAATATCACGACCAGCAAGAAATCATTCGATCAGATGAACTGGACGAAATTTGCTTACAATCGGCTTTCTGACTTATAAACATACGATAGCCTGGTAGTATAGCCTGTCCGAATGTTCAGGCGCATTTCACATGTCTGGCTCGTTTCCATTTAATTAATAAAGTGTTTCAACTACAGAAACAATGGGACGCGGCAAGTTCACTGAGCTAAGCCTTCTAACCTGTGAAGTTTACACCTTCTAACACCGTGATGAGATCCATGAAGTTTGGGAAAGTCAAGCAGAATCCAAAGGAACAGGTCAGTTAACCACTGTAGAACTGTCTGCAGCGGATACACAACGACGCATGCTATGTAGGAGTAGTTGATCTCTACTATCTGCCTCGGATATGGCGTTCGGTTTGACGAGGATCCTACACCAGAAAGATGATCACTAAATCAATTCGGGTGGTCCCAAATTGAGCGTTACTCATACAGCAGTCCTCGTTACTGATTTATTTAATGCCTACCTTAAGAAGGCCATTACCAGCACAATGGTCTGTTTCTAGGCTCAATGGCAGACACTATGTCTGTGCTTGCTTCAAATTATCTACGGAGATTAATTGCGCCTTTGATGGTCTTATGCGGTTGGTTCGGTCAAAATCTGACGGTACCTTTGGGGAAAATGCCTTCAATTACAACCGAGCTAACGTTTACCTAAATAATCCAAGCATACACTTGGGATATTCCGAGTGAAACGTCTGAGTGTCTGAAGAGAATACTTTACCTGGTCAAACATCATATTCATAAGCGACCCGAAGACTAGATTTATCTGCTTTAAAAAGATAAAATGGTTTATATTAAGTGCGAACTAAAAGGTAAATGGTTGGTAACAAATGTGGCGAAATACGCTATCAAGCCTACCCGGGCCCCCCAAAAATTGAATGAACAATCTGACTTATTGTAATTATTATACCTAGCTTATTCGGAAGGATAGATTATCTCATCGGCAGAGGGCGGCGTATCGATTTCGTTCCAGATGCAGAATACCCTGCTGGTTTGCCAATATCCCACGTACATCGAAACGTTACAACAAATGGGCAGGCGTAGAGTGTCAAAAAGTGCCTAGAAAGCTGTGGTTGCGCTACACCACACATTACACCGTGTCGCCAATCTGAGGCACATTTTTCTACTGAACTTCCAGGCTCCAAAGTGTAGTGCTATCCATTTTCATGATACATAGCACTGAGAAACTTGTTCGTACTACGCCAACACTTCCACCCGAATCGATGACCGTCACCAAAAGGAAACAGGGGTTTCAATCATAATGATAGTTGAAAATTTGTCCAGAGGATTTCAGAGATAATTTGACGATCAGCGGTTTACATAAGGTGGAAGATAGGAATCGTTGTCCCAACCTAAAAAAGCGGCACTAAAAAACTAGCAACTTACCTAATGACCCACCCTATTGTGATGATAAACATTTTGCAAGTCATCTTCTCTATAGCACCAAGTTATCCGGAAAGGGAAAGGCATATTTCGCGGAAGCAATAAGTTCTGTGCCAGTGTCAGTTACTCAGTACGGTGGTATGGAAAAGGAAACACTAAGCAGCTTTAAATTCTTTTTCGAATTTCCAAGGATTTTCACAGCTTGCAGCAACTAATCCCCCTCAATCAGACTCTCAAGAGGATCAGTAGTTTACCTAACTAGGGGCTACAATCTTGTCTGCTTATTTACCAAAGCTATGAATATTTGTAATTACATTTCCCATGTGCACATTGTCACTCACCTCCTTAAGCAACATTATTTCGCTTTTTTTACAACACTCCGTCTAAGCGTATTCGAACTATTGGCAACCGCCGTTTATTCCGAGAACGTGTGAAACGAAATCAACGCTGCAAGCATCAATGAAAAAGGAATTACGATTGTTCTTAAACAGCAGTCCTGTGAAATCAGTGTGCGTTTCCAATGTACCTTATGATCTGACCAGCTTAGCGGGGCCGTGTCTCACCTAATCGAAAATATACCCCGGTAACTTGCATATTTGTTCACTATTAACCTCCTGCTGCAATTCCTTGTCGCGTAGGGGGCACTGCATGGTCACGGAAGGACGCTGTGCCCGTTTTCGTCGTGCGCTAAGGACCCAGAACCTATGGCAATCGCAAGTCGCTCACGTTATGCTAACGACCTAAAGACTGGCTCAGTGGTCAATGGGTATATGTAACAAGTGTCAATACCTCAGAATAGGCTAGGGACAGATTGGGAATCCATAATCTTGAATAGTTTAGAATACAGGTGAGGTTTGTATAAGATCTCACTATGGATAACATCCATATATAAAGGGTTGTATATCTGGGTCATTTTGGACGAACTGAATGGTGCGAGAACTGATCAGTCAAATGATCGTCCATATATGCTATGGGCCAACTGTGCGGAGGGGAGCTTGAAACTGCTTTTTGTGTGGAATGTCTGTCGGCTGTACGTCATCTCTGTGTGATCTCAACCAGTCAAACATGGTCGATGACAGAAGACTTTCGGACGGTCCGTCTCTTCTACCTCTGTACACAATTTTAATGGATACGCAAGTCCCATTTCAAATGCACCAGTAGGTACTGTAGCCAAGATACGGACTAAATTACTTACCGCTCAGCAATGGTAGAATAAATTGGACAGTGAAGACCTTGACGCAATAGCCAGACTGCAGGAGGCAGTTGGACGGAAGTGGCTGATGGTGGGATCTGAATTTCTCCAAAGCTTTCGACCCCCTTGATCACCGCATCCTACTTCAACGGCTACAGAGCTACGGA